GGTATCACCTCACACCTGTCATAATGGCTATCATCAAAAAGTCTACAAATAACAAATGTTGGAGAGGATGTGGAGAAAAGGGAACCCTTATACACTGTTGGTGGGAATGTAAATTGGTACAGCCACTATGGAGAACAGTATGGAGGTTCCTCAAAAAATTGAAGACTGAACTATCATATGCTCTAGAAATTCCACTCCTGGGCATATATCTGGAAAAAATGAAAACTCTAACTCAAAAAGATTCATGCACTACAATGTTCATAGCAGCACTATTTACAATAGCTGAGACATGGAAGCAATCTAAGTGCCCATCAACAGACGACTGGCTTAAGAAGGTGTGGTGTAGATACAATGGAATATTACTCAGCCATAAAAAAGAAGGAAATTCTGCCATTTGCAGCCATGTGGATGGACCTAGAGAATATCATGCTTAGTGAAATAAGTCAGACAGAGAAAGACAAACACTATATGATATTGCTTATATGTGAAATCTAAAAAATAATATAAATGTATGTATATACAAAACAGAAACAGACTCACAGACATAGAGTCTGTGGTTACAAACTTGTGGTTACCAAAGGGAAGCGGGAAGTGGGAAGGGACAAATTAGGAGTATGGGATTAACAGGTAAAAACTACTCTATACAAAATAGATAAGCAACAAGGATACACTGTATAGTACAAGGAATTACACCCATTATCTTGTAATAACCTATAATGGAATATAATCTGCAAAAATACTGAATCACTATGCTGTACACCTGAAACTAACACAGTATTGTAAATCAAGTATACGTTAATAAAAGAAGTGTTGCCGATAATGTGGAGAAATTGGAACTCTCATTTACTGCCGGTAGGAATGTAAAGTGGTACAGCTGCTTTGGAAAACAGTTTGGCAGTTGCCCAAAATGTTACACATCAAGTTACCATATGATCCAGCAATTCCATTTCTAAGTATACAAATGAAATGAAAACATACATCCGTGCAAAAACTTGTACACAAACATTCATAGCAGGATTATCTACAATAGTCAAAAAGTAGAATCTACCTAAGTGCCCATCAACTAGTGAATGGATGAATAAAATATGGTATACCTACAAGATGAAATATTATTTGGCACTAAAAAGGAATCAGGTACTAATACATGCTACCACCTTGATGAACCTTGAAAATATTATGTTAAGTGAAAGAAGTCAGTCACAAAAGACCACATACTGCATGGTTCCAATGATATAAAATGTCCAGAATAGGCAAATCTATAGATTCAGAAGTAGATTAGTGGTCACCTAGGACTAAAGGGATGAGGCAAAAATAGGACTTGACTGCTAATGAGCATGGAGTTTCTTTTTGTGGTGACGAAAAATGTTCTAAACTTACATTGTACTGATGGTTGCCAAGCTCTGTGACTATGCTGAAAACCACTGAGCTGTATACCTTAAATGGGTAAACTGTATGCTATGTGAATTATATTTCAATGAGGCTCTACAAAAAAAAAGGAAGGAGTGAGCCACAGCAACAAAACAGTGTTTTGAATGTTATGATTGGGGAAGTGGTTTACACGAATAAATAATATGGAAACTCAATGGGGCCAAGACATGAAGGATCAAGAATGAGGTAACTAACCCAGGGCTGAGCAGACAGTAAGGGCAAAGGGCAAGGTTGGGAAAAGAATGAAACACTGAAGGAAATAAAGATATCTGATAAGGGGTTAATATCCAAAATATATAAAGAACTCATATGACTCAATAGAAAAAAACCCCAATCTGATTTAAAAATGGGCAGAGGATCTGAATAGACATTTTTCCAAAGAAGACATACAGATGGCCAACAGGTACATGAAAAGATGCTCAACATCACTAATCATCAGGGAAATGTAAATCAAAACCACAGTGAGATATCACCTCACACCCGGTAGAATGAGTATCATCAAAAAGACAAGTGGGGCTTCCCTGGTGGCGCAGTGGTTGAGGGTCCGCCTGCCGATGCAGAGGACGTGGGTTCGTGCCCCGGTCCGGGAAGATCCCACACACCGCGGAGCGGCTGGGCCCGTGAGCCATGGCCGCTGAGCCTGCGTGTCCGGAGCCTGTGCTCCGCAACTGGAGAGGCCACAACAGTGAGAGGCCCGCGTACAGCAAAAAAAAAAAAAAAAAAAAAGACAAGTGTTGGTGAGGAGGTGGAGAAAGGGAACCTTTGTGCACTGTTGGTGGGAATGTAAATTGGTGCAGCCACTACGGCAAACTGTATGGAGTTTCCTTAAAAAAATCTGTAATAGGCTTTGGGTGTCTGCTCTCCAGAGGACACCGAACCAACTCCTAGTACCATTGGACACACCCACCACTGGAGTGGGCACAGCGTGCCACCTTTTACTTGTGTCAAGGAAGACTGTGAGCTGTGGGTCTTGCCCTCAGAAGAGGGCCTCCCATGACCAGCTGCCCGCACACTGTCCACTGACTGCCCAGCTGGTGATGTCCCTCTGCCTTGAAGTCTCGCTCGGTCCATCCAAAGTACTCCATGTGAACGATGACCTCATCAAGAGCCCACAACACTGGACAGCAACTCCTAATCATTCAAGACTCCGTTCCTAGGCTGTCTCCTAGAGAGACATCACAACTTCCAGGCCAACTTAGTTGTACCATCATCTTTGCGCGAACTTCTGTGTTAGCTTTCACTACAGAATATTGCAATTGATCTATTATATTCAGTATTTACATTTCTGTCTCTTTCACTCCATAGCAAGACCCTCCAGGGCAATGACCGAGTTTGACTTCCCTAAAGACCTGTATGTTCAGCTGTCTATGGGAGATCTCCACATGGGTGTCCCACAAGCACATCACCATATCCAAAGCTGAACTCATCTGAAGAACCCCCCTTAGTGTCCATACAGCACCCAAGCCTCTTTCATTGCATCTTGTATATTAGAGTGTAGTTTCCTATTATAGAACTATCTCTCCCACTAGACAGAGAGGAACTGAGGGCAGAAACCACGCGAATTTCATTTATCTCTGTATCCCTGGAGCCCAGCACAGTGCCTTTCATATAGGTGTTATTCAATAAATGGTCACTTAATTGAAAAAAAATTAATAATAGAACTATCATATGATCCAACAATTCTACTTCTGGGTATTTATCCAAAGAAAATAAAAACACTAACTCGGAAAGATACAGACACCTTCCTGTTCATTGCCGCAATATTTACAGTAGCCAAGACATAGAAACAACCTACTGATACATGTCCATCAATAGACAAATGGATAAAGAAAATGTGGTATACATATATACATACAACAGAATATTATTCAGCCGCAAAAAAGAAGAAAGTCCTGCCATTAGTGACAACATGGATGAACCTTGAGGGTATTATGCTAAGTGAAATAAGTCAGAGAGAGACAAATACTGTATGATTTCACTTTCATGTGGAATCTAATAAAAAACTACAACTGAATTCATAGATACAGAGAACAAAGTGGTTGCCACTGGTGGGAGGTAAGGGGGTTGGTCAAAATGGGTGAAGGTCGTCCAAAGGTACAAACTTTCAGTTATGAGATACAGAGGTTTTGGGGCTGTTAACATACAACATGGTGACTATACTGTGTTGTAGATTTGAAAGATGCTAAGAGAGTAGATTGTAAAAGTTCTCATCACAAGAAAAAAAACTGTAACTATGTGAGGTGATAACCAAACTTATCATGGTAATCGTTTCACAATACATACATACATACATACATACATACATACATACATACATACATTACAGCATTATGTTGTATGCCTACAATGAACACAGTGTTAAATATCAATTATATCTCAATAAAAAGAAATTGTAAAAAGAATTCTAAATCCCTCCCTCATAACCTCCAGGTCACACTCTTTCATGGATGCCCCCTGTTCTACATGACTTGCATGAAATCTGCAGCATTGGCCTTGAAACTCATGGGCCAAGCAGCTGAGCCTTGGCTCAGATAGAAGGGCTCTGTAATCTCTGGGGAGGCTGCCCCCAGGGAGAGAGTCTTGTGTGCAGTTCCTGGAGGGGAAGATGCATTGTGCCCCTGGGAGGAAATGATTCTAAAGCTACGCCGTCTTATCTGGGCTCTGGGGTCTGCTCCCCTCCTGGCTTCAGTTGTACATCACCAGGTTCATCCAGTGAGAAATAAGCATCCTCGTTACAACACAACTTTACACTAGTTAGCTTAACACAGAGCAGGCCAAATGGTACCCTCTTCCCTTGAAAGATCTCAGTCTAGTCTCATCAACCTTTTCCAGCTAATTCCAACCCAAGCAGGAGGTCTCGGCCCTCTATTACAGCATATCTTCCGCTGCTCCCTGAATAGCCGGGCACTGAGAGGGACAGCTGAGGTCAACCAGCTGGCTGGGCCAGGAGGCTCTTTCTAAAAACTCACTGGGAGTAAGTTTAATGTACAGTGAGCTCATGGGGCTCCCCTGGTAGCACAGTGGTTAGGAATTCACCTGCCAATGCAGGGGACACGGGTTCAAGCCCTTATGCAGGAAGATCCCACATGCTGCGGAGCAACTAAGCCCCTGCACCACAACTACTGAGCCTGCGCTCTAGAACCCGCAAGCCACAACTACTGAACCCACACGCCTACAGCCCGTGCTCTGCAGCAACAGAAGCCACCGCAATGAGAAGCCGACGCACCGCAACGAAGACCCAACGCAGCCAAAAATAAATAGATAAAATAAATAAATTTAAAAAAACAGTGAGCTCCCCAGGTGTTCCTTAGTTCCCTCCTGGATTTATGACTCCCACACAATCCTCTGCTTTATTAAGCTATTGGAAAAAATAAAATCTGCCTGCCAGGAGCCTAAAGCAGCCTTGGCAGCCAGCAATATATAAAGGCAGTAATTGGAGGCCGGGGGCCGGCAGCTTGGCTGGCCTTTGACAGACTGTTCAGTAACCTCAGGGAGAGAAATGCCCCCTGGAATCAGGTGAGGAGAGGTAGCCTGGCGTTGTGACCTGTCTCTGTGCGGGGAAGGTACCTCACCTCCATTTCTGTCAGGTAGAGTCCTTTTCCGTCCTTGGCGAGGTTCTGGAACGCTTCTAGGGTAAAGAGGGGGACGAGAATCAGGACGGGCCTGGGCCCACGTGCGATGAAAGCCAACGTGCTGACTCTGTGCGAAGCCCTGGAGTGCGCTCGGCCTCCCCCCCATTTCTCTTTCCAGCCAAACTCTACACCCGTGGCTCAGGCTCAGCCCTCAAAACAGCCCCCTGACCGCTCTGCCCCACACGCCCCTGCCCCCTGCAGCTTCCTTACACTTTGTACTCTCCACACTTGGCTGTGGGGATGCGGGGGCTTGTTTTAGCAGGTATCTCGGGGGCACCTCCCTTGTCCAGCTGCGAATTCTCTGGAACAAGACTGTGCGTCTGGCTTCTCCTTTACCCTCCCAGCGTTCTGCTCTTTCCACCTTGTTAACTGCCTGCCTCAGAGCTGTGGGGTCAGTGCCACATGGCAGGAGTGGTGCAAGGATGTGAGCATAGGCCAGATCCCACTTCGACCTCAACCACAACAGCTCCATTTGGAGCTATATTGTGGCTTGGGGTTTCACGTGAAATGTCATTTAAAACAAAGGGGTGTGCTGCTATAAAGTGTCAAAACCTCTGGCCTACATAGCTGGATTTCTGAGGCCTTGTGGGGGGGACCTACGGCTCCCACCTACTCGCTGTGTGTGCAAATCCTTCAGCAGGGATCAAACCCTTCGCTGCATGACTAAAGAGTAGGTTTAAACCATAAACACAATCTGGAGAGGGGCCGCAGCGATTTAACCCAGCTCCTGAGAGACGTGCTAGTAGGGTAATGAGGAAATGAGCGATCTGGGGTGGGGGAATGTCCTGGGGAGAAAAGGGTGCAGAAGGGAGGTTGGGGACTCCAGGCAACTACACCATCACACAGGCTAATGTTGGCTCTGTCCCTTGGGACGAGCCCAGGCCTGGGGCTGGAGCGCATTCCTGGTCCCCTCCTGTGTTCTTTGTGAAGGTCTCCAGGATGGCCCCGGGGTGACACTTGTCATGGCTTCAAGCCGCATCAGGATGCAGACCAGGCTGGGGAAGCTGACCCTGCCTGTGCTGTCGCTATAGCGGAGTCTCATGAGATCCAGCCGCTCATTGGTGACAGAGATCCCTGCAAGGAAGTCTGAGACCCAGGGGGAGCCAGTGAGCGGGGAGGAGGTCGGGAGTTGGGGTGGTCCTGTCCTCAGAGCGGAGAACTCAGGTGGTGGCCTCAGGTGGACAGGAGAGAGATGCCTCGCCCTCTTCGAGTCCTGTGATCGTGCATGTCTAGTTGTGAGCTCCAGGGAGGCACTGACCATAGAACCAACGACGGCAGACTGAACATCAGGGGGGCCTGTGTACCCTGGTGAGCCATCAGAACACTGTAAACCAAACCATCCATCAAGGGGACAAGCCTGGTGGCCTGTGGGCCCCATACAGCCAGAGACATATTCGGTTTCTCCTGCAGAGCTCATAAAATGTGAATTTGAATGCCTTTAGATAGGGCATGCCTCTGCAGCTTGGAAGTTTTCAAACTGCCCCCTCAAATCACATCCATCAGCTCTGTTGCCCCTTTCAGTTACCGGGACTGGCCCCTGCCAGCTTTTCAGCCAAATTCCAACTATTCTCTTTCTCCCTTTTATTATTCTGGAGTCATTAGTGAGGTTCTCCTTTAAAGGTTTCATCTTTCACTGGCATTCAGTGGTTCTCAGAGTGTGATTCCCCAGACCAGGAGCTTTGGCCTCACTAGAGAACTTGTCAGAAGTACAAATTCTTGAGCCCCACCCCAGTCCTCCTGAAGCAGAAACTTTGGGCAGGTGGTGAGGCTCACCAATCTGCACTTTCACAAGCCCCCAGGGGTGCTGACTCAGGCTCAAGTGTGAGAACCACAGCCCTCGGCTGTGAAAAGTAAGGTGAGGATAGAGGCTGAAGCCGGGGTGCGGGCAGCAGCTCAGGTTTTTACCCTCTCAACAGGCTGAGAGTCCCCGGGAGGGAGACCCGTGGAGGCTGCCCTTCCAGCAGGGGACCTGCTGGAGCCTGATTTTACATTGTATTCAGGAAGGTGGCAATTTCCTGACTTAACCTTTTTGTGAGCCATTTCCCCCATGGGTACAGTGAGGATAACGATTCCTGTCCTTCCCAAGTTCCAGAGCTGTTGAGACAATCAAATGAGGTGACGTGAGTGCAAGTTCTTGCTGAAATAAGCAGCATCTGTGCCCTGCACTGTTATTTTCATTCTCCCGGGACTGAAAGCTCTTGCCTCCTTGAAGCAGACAGAGGCCATTTGATTTCACTTAGCCCCAGACCCTCTGTAAAGAGAGCGCATCAGTCCACCTGTGGGTATTTAACCCTGATGGCCTGGATGCTGAGATGGAAGCATCTTCAAGGCAAGCTAGATTTCTGGTAGGGTACCAACCATGCGCGGTCATTTTTACACAATTAGAGCTGTGCTGGGGAGAGGAGGCAATCAGGAGAATTGACTGGCAGGCAAGAACTCAGGTGGGGGAGGGTGGAGTCTGCATCTGGAGCCAGGAGGCTCACAGACCCAGTGTAAACCAGGGGAGGGCACAAACACTGTGCTCTGCTCTCTCCCCGCCATGCCCGGCACCTCTCTACCAGCCTTGCCTATAGCATGCTGGGGGCGAGGGCAACACACACACACACACACACACACACACACACACACACACACCAGTCATCACGGCTCAAAGGGTTGCCGGCTTTACCTGTGTCCTTTATGGCCTTCCACAAATCCGAGCTCGGGAAAACTCCAGAGTTCTTCCGGGAGTTTTGGAAAACACTCTGATATGGGAGAAAAAGCAAGAAGCCCGTGTGAGCCCCAGTGTCCACCTGGGAGAGGATGTCCTGGGTACCCGGGTAGAGGGAGGTCACGATAAATCTCGTTCCCAACCCTGGAGGCTGCTTCACTAAAACACGAGTGGGCCCAGCTCAGAGGTCGGCAGGGTGCATAGCTGAGGCCGGGGTTGGGGAATGGGCTCTGCTCGATAAAGCTGACTGCCCGGCCGTCAACTGCAGGGCGGCGGGTCCCTCTCCCAGGCCCGCACCTTCCCCCCGCCCCCCCCACCTGCTCTCCTTCCTCTTCCTCACCCCCTAGACTGGGCTCCTGCTGCCCCAGGAGGCTTCCTCCTTTCCAGGGAGGTAGAGAGCTCTCTAGAGTTTGCCTAGGGTGGGGTTAATAGCACAGACGTTACAACCAAATTGCTGAGTATAAATCCCAGCTTTACTATTACCATCTGTGTAACCTGGGTCAAGTGACCTAACCTTTCTAGGCCTCAGTTTCCCCCTCTGTAGCACAGGGCCAATTACACTACCTACCTCATAGGTTCGTTGCAAGGAGTAAATGAGCACATCTTTATAAAGCGTTTAGGAGCGTGCCTTGCACGATAGTGAGTGCTGTGTAGGCAGCACTGAAGGTACGTGAGAACTGCACCTGGGACCAAGCACGGCCGTGGTGTGGAGTCACCTGAACACCCCGATTTTGTACAGGGCGGCTCTCCATTTGCCCGAGACTTTCTCCCTCCCCCTAATTCTCACTCGAACCCTCAGGCTCCTCCTGCTTCCCAGGTGAGGACACAGGTGGGTGAGTAACTTGCCTTGAATGAAACAGGCAAGCACCGCAGGACTGAACCCGGGACTCCTAACATTGGCCTATGCTCACTGCTGCCCAGGAGCTATTTTAAAGCAAAATACCCCCAAGCAGGTGTGCAGCTGAGGCAGATCGTGGGAGCCGGTTACTGTGAAATAGCGGCTTGACAACTTTTTTCAGGCCTTAGTTGGCTTTTGTGAGTTCAGAGACTTAGCGTGTTCTCAGTTAGGTACGGACTCATTCATTCAGTCACGCATTCGTTTGGTCATTTGTTCAGCACTTTTGAGTGCCTTCTGTGTGCTGGACACTGTGGAAGGCCCTGGGGAAAAGGATGAATATGAGAGATCCCTTCCCGGGAGGACCCTGCAATCTAATGGGAGGACTGTCGGCCATTGCAGTGCCTGGTGAGAAACCAAATGACCCCAATCAGGGATTAGGTGATATAAATAAATAATATGTAAATTGAAAGTGTTTTTATTTTATTGTTGTGGGTTCAAGTGTTAGGAGCTGAAGGGGGACTCACTGGGTCTTAGGGGGGCGGGCAAGGCCCCCAGGGGAGGCCCCTTAGGGAAGGGGTTTTGGGGCTGGACCCACAGGCTGGGTGGGCATCAGGCAGGCTCTGAGTGCAGGGACGGGAGAACAAGGAGTCTCAGAGCTGGGGTCCGGTGGAGTGAGCGGGGTGAGGGAAAGGGCTTCTCCTGGACCCCAAAGTGGGTCCCAACTCAGAGGATCTTATGTATAGCTGATGAGTTTCGACTTTGTCCTGAGAGCAACAGTGAGGCCACACTGAGGCCACAGACCACAACTGTGATTCTGATGTATGTTCTGGCAGACGGAGGGGAAGTGGATGAGGGGCACTAGCGGCCTAGGGGATGCTGCAGTGGGCCCGGGGAGCAATGAGGAGAGCAGTGCTAGCTGGCAGTTTTAGCTACAGTCACTGTGACCCGTTTCTCCTCCAGCCTCCTAGAGCGGTCCTCAGCCTGCCACCTGACCGGGCATTGCCTCGTGCCTTCTAGTGGTGCATGTACAGATCCCCAAGCAAAACAGGGGCCCTCCTTGAGGGTGGGGGTGAGTCTCCTTTCCTTTCATAGCCCTCAACCCTGGTGTAGGATCGGGCTACCCTGTAAACATATGCTAAACCAGACAGAATAAGAGTGCTAGTCAAAAGGGAACATGCAGGTACCTGGCAGTGGACAAGACAGCTCCACAGCCTTGAAAACTCTTCTTGGTCAAGCCGCCCGTTCACCTTCAGCTGGTGGGGAGTTAAGAGTCAAGCAGTCCTTCGTGCAGTGAGCAGAGAGCAGCCCCACCCACCAACTAGTAACACAGCCAGTCCAGCGTCACCTGGATGTGGCCCTACACCAGCTGGCTCTTGCTGTATCTGAAAGGGACCTGGCTTAGATTTATTTCACAGGGAAAACAATCAATTGGAAGGAGAAGGCGGCCCTGAGAAAGGAGAGCCAACATCACGTGTGCCCAGGGGAAGAGGGCGAGCCCCAAACACAGCCTTCACCAGTTGGGGTGGGGCCCCTGGCAGGGGGGAGTGGGGAGCAGCTGGGGGGAGGACAGCGCCTTGCAACTCCGGAGGCAGCATGAGAGGTGAGTGCACCCGCTAAGTGTGCGCCAGTGGGCGGACCGCGTTCTGTGTATTCAAGTCAGCCCTGGCCACTCCATACGATGGGTTTAATGAAAACTAATGAAAAGAATGGATCTCTGAGGCACTGGAGGGGAGCTGGTGGGTGAGCATGAGGAAGGGTAGGAAAGACCTGTCTGCTTTGCAGGGGTCCTGCAGACATGACCTCCCCAAGGGCTGCCTGCCCCAGGATGTGGGGCTGCCAAGGGCCATTGGACTCATCTGCAGGGATGAGCAGTGTCTCTGGGTGATTCCAAGCCACAGCCAGCAGAGACAGGGCCTGACGGATGATTTCATCAGGAAGGCCTCTTGTTTGACAATGGCTGGCTTCACATCCCCAGTCGAGCCTTGTTAAGAGTGAAAGAGCCGGGGGATCCGTGTCACCCCAGGGAGACGGTGCACACCCAAGGGAAGAGCGCTGCAAGGCAGCAGCTGGGGGATACGCCCACGAGGAGCCAGAGGGGAGATGGGGCAGGCAGGGGAGAAATGGCTCAGGGGAGAGTGGAAGTCAGGACGGGAGGCAGGAGACCCGGGGCTGGGTCCCAGCCCTGCCACTTGTGGCCACGGAACGTGGGCAGGCCACTGCACTGTCCCAGCCCAGTCTCATCTGCAAGTGCAGCATGATAGTAATAATGGGGTGTAACTGCCATGCAGACCGAAGGGTTTTCTGCAAGCGTTGGTGGTTGTTGTCTTTGTTGAACTGGGGGCTTTGCTGAGAAGGAATTTAAATAGTGAGGACTCCTCCAGTGCTAAGGAGAGGGGTGTAAGGAAGATAGTTCCCACTGCTGCTACAAGGAGGCAGTGAAGGATAATGTTAGAACATAGACTTCGGAGGCTGAAAACTCCAACTGTAAATCCAGACACAAATTGTGACTAGCTGTGGGATCTGGGCTGAACCCTTGTTTCTTCCATTGGATCATGGGACAATACTTCTTATATCACAGGGGTTATTGCAAGAATTACGAGGAAAAAAATATATATCAGTACAGTTCTTGGCACGCAGTAGACGCCTGATAGGTGGTAAGTTTTGTTATTGTTGCTGTGGCTGTTCTGGAGAGCAAGTTGGTGCAGAATCCCCAGGAGCCCAGGCTCCTTGGTGAGCCCTCAGAACCAAGAAAGAAAATAATGAGGGTGAGAAAAGTGTTCCCCAGTGTCCTAAATAGACCCCTGAGGAAGCCCAAGGAGCAGACAGGCTCTTAGAGCTGGGGGAGGGGGGATAACTGCAAAGGATACATCCGTCAGAGCCACAATGCTCTGGCACTCATCCAAAGAGAATGTGTCCCCTGGAGGTCCTGAGGGGGAGAACAGGAAGGACTGAAATGTCAGAGGGTGGCATAGGACTGGTGTGACCATGGGGATGGGGTTGGGGCCAAGAGGTCCTTCCTTACCTTTTAGGAATTCCTGGTTGAGAAGGCTCTGAACCTGGGTAGCATCAATGTCCAGCCCCTGATCCAAATGAGGAAGGGATGCAGGAATCACATCGGTACCCAGGAGCAGAGGGGCACACCTGCCTGACCGTAAAAGCACTGGGATTTCTGAGCACTTAGTTCCCATCTCACCTTTGTCATGAAGCCTTCCCTCGCGCCCTCCCTCCCTCCCTCCCTTCCTTCCCTCCCTTTCCTTCCTTCCTTCCTTCCTTCCTTCCTTCCTTCCCTCCCTCCCTCAAATATTAACAGCCCAGCAAACGGCAGGGGTCAAGTTGTGACCCATGGCCCCTAGGGCTGCACAAAGAGGGTAGTTCAGTCCAAGTAAAGTCTCTACAGGTTGGGCCCTGGACAAATGGAGTATGAGGGGGAACCGGGAAGCCCCTCCCTCCCTCCCTGCTTCCCTCCTTCCTTCTTTTTTTTTGGCTGCGTGGCATGACTTGCAGGATCTTAGTTCCCTGACCAGGGATTGAACCCGCGCCCTCGGCAGTGAAAGCGTGGAGTCCTAACCACTGGACCACCAGGGGATTCCCATGAAGCATTTCCTGATTGCTCCAGGCCCTGGTGATAACTCCCTCCCTGAACATCTGTAGTGCTGATTACTTCTGACATTTGATACCTGGTGTGGGTCACCTTGCATTTCTCTATTCATTACTGGGCTGAAAGCTGTGTTTGCTTCCCCCCGACCATACCTGGCACTCGGGAGCCCCTCAGAAGTATTGTTGAATGAATCAATTCAGCCCTACAGGTGTGTTCCCCCATCTGCTTCCAGAAAGGCAGTGAGAGAAAACATGACTACTGAGTGCGTGCGTGCGTGCGTGCGTGCGTGCGTGTGTGTGTGGCGAGGGGAGATAAAAACACCAGGAATCCAGGCTAAGACAAGTTGCTCTAATTGAGCACATAACTCAGCATCAGTCTTCCCAGCCACAGAAGCAGAAAGGGAGACATTATGGTTTTCCTCGGATAAAAAACGGGAAGCAGCTGAGGTTGAGGGGAGAGAAACATTTCCTGGCCTGAACTTCGGAAGGTGTTAACTGCCTTCACTCTTCTGTTCGGGACACTGACCCCAACAGTTTTATGGGCAGCAGATTCCGTGACGATTTGACAGAGAAGCAGAGCCCATCTCCATGCATCTTCTACCCAGCCTGGTAAAAAGCCGAGGGCATGATGGGACATCACCACCCTGGGGAAGCTGATCCGCGGGAGGAGTTGGAGTGAGGGCTCCCAGCAGGTGGCTTTGTAGAGGGGCACTAGGTCGGGAGGAAGGAGGTGCCTCCTTGGGGTCTTCTGAGAACCTGTACCACACAGACAACAGATAAGCAGTCCCCAGGGTGGCCTCACCACCCAGAACACACAGCAAAAGCGGCCCTACAGTTTGTCCTTACTGGAGTCCTTTAGCCGGAAAAATGACCCCCAGTGATGTCACCAGTGCAACACATCCTGCCAGCATCTGAAATTGGCCCTCAGGTCATCCCTCCAACGTCTCACTGGTTGGTCACGTCAGGGAAGTTGGTGTTGTGTGCCCGCCATCAACTGAGTTTTTTCCTCGAAAGAATCATGACACCTCACTATAAAGAGCAGTTGCCATGGTGAGGAATGCCAACTTACATGGAGTCACGTGAGAATGTAAGCAGCTGTGGGGCATGGATCACATCCCCCACACTGGGACAGCCCCTGACCTGGTCCCTGCACCCAGTAAACACCACAGTGTTGGAAGAGATGGGGCTAGGAATGGAGATAAAGGTTGCCTGAACAAAACGCCCAAAGAATCGCACGTCGGCCTCTACCACCTCAATGGAAGATGCCTAAGGACTGATGCTTTGCTTTCCTTGGAACATCCTAGGGTATTTGTACATGTTTGCTGATTGAATAAATGATAGATGATGGATGTGGCCTGTCCCAAAGGCTAAGTGTGTCCTTCCTTTTCCCACAGGCGGACCCTGGGTTGTGGTACCACCACCACTACTATGGCTGATAAAGGGGTACAAGAGATTGGGAGAGAGGACAGAGTGAGTACATGGACGAATATTTTGCTCTCAACTTTCTTTTGAGGACACAACCCCTGAGGATAGTTTGCAGGTTGTGCAGAATGATGCCAGGTTGGCCCTGCTCAAGGGTATCCACCAAGGGGTGAAAAGAAGTTGGAGTCCAGTCTGGGTTCTACTCTCGAGCCACGCACCTTGGTGCAAGGCTCCATGTCTCTTCTATTCTAATTCCTACAATGGCCTCATATGGGCTGCCAGTTACCCTCTATGAGAAGACATTTGGTTGTTGTTTGGAAAAGTCCTGATTAGGGAATCTGTACCATTTATCATATGACAAATTATATTTTTTATTTCAGAGGTGCAGGTTCATGGACCATGTTGAGGACTTTGCCACCTGCCCCTGAAGGAAGCTTGGTCTCACGTATCCTAACCGGTCCTGCTGATCACCTAGGGGAAGTAACCTTGGCTAGAGCATCTGCTCTGGGGAAGTGAATCTGTCTTAATTCAGTGCAGATTGATTGAACACCTTCTCTGTGCCAAGGACAGTGATAGTTATTGGGGACAAGGAATGCATACGATGTCATCCCTGCCTTCAGAAGCTCACAGACAGGGGACATTCACCATAGTAGATCCCGTTTTGCACCAAGTGAGTGCTTTCAGAGTCAGCCCAGATGTGGGCCTGAATCCTGGGCTAGTGTTGATTTCAAGGAGGTTCATACTGAGCTGTTCCCTATAACATGTACCCTCATGCCAGCCACATTCTTCATCTCTCCTTATTTATATCTCTGGGCCCAGGCTACCTGAATAACTTCCCTTTGGCTGCCTTCTGGTTACCAATGCCCTGTTAGCCTTCTGAATGCCTGGCATCTTCCTGTCCTTGGCCCCTGCCTGCCCAAGGCTGGCATGGTACACTCGATCATCTATATGGCTTTCCGCTTCCCACACCGACATGACGACTAATGGTAAAAGGCCCATCGTGCAGAGCCCTTGGCAGTTGGTTTTTTTTCCTGACAGGTCAAGGAGTTCTTTATAACGGCTTATTAAACCATTAAGAAAATCCCCTGTGCACGTAGGTGGCTTGGCAGGAAGAAAGCTGTTGGTGCTTTCTGAAGCTGGCCAGCTCCTGAGAAGGATGCCAACGTTGGTGGGAGGTGGCAGAACGGGAGAAGGAAAGATTTCAAGGGGTGTTGCCAATTGCTTGTTTAAAGATTTAAAGAGCTCACTCCCCTGTAATCAGGCCCTTCTTTTCCAAACTACACTTCACCCCAGATGTCACCCAGGTGGGGCGCCCCGTCTCTCCAGATCAGTTCTGGACATCCAGGGAGAGAGGCCGACACGACCACCCATGAAGTCATCTTCCTCTCTCTATCCTGATAAGGACCTGGGAGAGGTTTCCTTCCCTCTCGTCCCTCCATCACCTGTCCTATGTAGGGTCCCTCGCCGTCATGCTAAGTACTGTACCTGCTGAGCGTATTTGTAGAAAATGCTTCGTTGGGAGCCATTTCTGGACGACTTGCCTGGATCTAAGGAAGAATAGCCAACATCAAATTTCTGGGGAAGGAGGCTGCCTGTCTGATACGGTGAGGGCCCCAAAACCTTCCACCTGGATCTGAGACAGAGGCTTCATCCAGCAATTGGATCAAACCTTTTTGGGGAATGGGAAAATGGAAATTTGTGGAAGGAAGATGGTTGGGTCCAGCCTGGCCTTCAAGGCCTGGTCTTCTCACCTCATCCCTGCCCCTTTGACCATCACCTGCCCATTGTGGTATCTGTGCTTTCATTGGTCAGTGGTGAGGCAAGAAGGAAGGAGATAGAAGCTCTTGGGGAGGGGACGTGACCCGGTGAAGTTTGCCAACCAAGCCTTGCCGCACACTTACCTGCAGTGGTCTGAGGTTGAGATTACCGTCCAGGTTCCTAGAAAATCAGGGGGACAGTGTGACCAGGATGACCAGCTCACTATTCAAAGGAGGCTCACGCTTACATGTGGCAGGCACCCCTGCAGGCATTGGGCATCTATGCCAAGGACACACGTGGAGAGCCCTCAGCACAGCAAGCTGTGAAGTGGGCAGCCATGGCAGTCAGCAGACAGACGAGCATCGTGACCTCGTGTCCAGTCTTTCAGGTGGCCCACCCCTGGTTTTCAAATCATTTTGTAAACTGTTCCTTTCACAACCAGATATATGTGTATCGTAACCCCCATTGCCAGGATGGCAAATAAGATTTGTCTTAGGTTCCAACTCTGAATGGTGGTACAGTTACCATCTGGCATTCTGGACTGAGAAGGCCTCGTCCATGCTCAACTGTAAAGGCTGCCACGATTGTAGTGATGTCTGCCTCGGGGCCAAGGAGGCATGAGGTGCCCAGCAGGGTCTTCACTGCAGTGAAGACCCTCCACCATCAGACTATCACTCAGGCCCATCTCTCACTGTGTCCCTGATGTACCCCACATTCTGTCCGCATTTCAGACAATTGCCATGCACGCCACGTACCACCTTCCTGTGTGTATGGACAACATTGCTCATTCTTCAACGAGCCCCGTGCTCACCCACTTCCCTGCTTCTGCTCATGTCTTTTTCCTCCACCTGCACTGCCTTCCCCTGGGAAACACTGTTAGGTTTTCCATCAAGGACTAGCTCACATTCCATGTCCCCCAAGAAGCCTTCCTCTGTCCCTCTTGCCAGAAGGGAATCCCTCCACTCTGTCCTCCCACACGACCCTGCACTTCCGTCAGGCAATGGCCCCATCCTGTTTGTGGTCTACGTATTGGTTCACAGACTCTCTCGCCTCCACTTTGTGCTGAGCTTCTTGAGAGCGGGGGGCCGTGCTGTGTCCCCCGCAGAGTGTGTTGCTGCACAGAATGGTGCAATGTGTTTTTATAAAATTAGGTAGAATAAAACGTTTAGAATCCCAGAAGTTCTGTACCTGTCACTGTCTGGCATCTTTAGGAAGATTCGGAGCAAGAACTCAACTCCTTCTCTGCCTGCGGAGGCGACCACCACATAGGTCCCAGGGCTCAGGCTGAAGCACTCTGTAAGGTTGCACGTGGTTTCAGAAACGATGCCCTTCTCAGCAATTCTGAATTTGGAAAAAAAGGTGGACGGCAATCTCTCTCGGAAATGCTGGAACTGGAAGAGACGTGATGATGGTGAGAAATCCCCTCTGTGCATGGGCCACAGCTACCAGGAGAGACCCCTACCTCCCAGACCCCTCTCCATCCACCAAAACAGCACTACAGGCCCTGAAAAGGGAGACACTGCTTACCCGAAGTCTCGAAATGCAATAGAGTTCAGACGGTTATTTAATATAGATGCTAACACTACAATGAATGACGGGAAATATGATACGTGGTTTTACCTCATTAAATCTTACAGCATCCTGGGCTTCTGGGTTTATCTCCCTGCTTATATACAAAGACGAATCATGAAAGCTAGTGAGATTGTTCCAATACTGAATTAATTCAGTAATTCAAAACGTAATTCAGTATTGGAATTTGGAGTCCTTTCTCTCTGGACCCTTTTGCAAAGCACTCCTTGGACCCCTGCAGCACTGCGGGGCTGGAGTCCTTTCGCTCCCTCCATTTCTCCCTTCCAGTAAAGCCCTGAAATGCCTTCTCACTGGAGAATAATAGGCCCTGATCATTCTCCTTTTATTTCGATATTTTCTTGGAGATAAAACAATAAATATCATGCAATTCCTATTACTGGACGTCACATACATATTACATGATAAAAACCCCTTACTAAATAAATTTTCCCCAACGCAACTGAGATGGGGATTCCATTTAGAATGGTCACGCAGCACGAAATGATTGCTTGTGAGCTCTGCCTTGGGGGGGAACAAGGAGACGGGGAGAGGGTCTTTTCAAGGGGTGGGAACCAGGCTCGGGTGCAAGGCGAGGCTACTGTTGCTGGTGTGCATCGGGGCGCTGGGCAGGGTCTCCAAACCGATGCTGCTGACATTAGCAGCAGGGGGGTGGGGAGGGAGGTGATGTGGCTGTAAGAAGAGTTGGAGGATGTGCCTTGAACTTGCATTTGCATTGCATGCATCCTGGTTGTGGTGGGTTTGGGGGCTGACAAAGAATACAGGAGGCTAAAGATCTACCCCCCCCGCCCCACCAGGGACCCATGAGCCCTGTCTCTCATCTTTAAAGGAACGGGCAGCGTCAATCTTATCTATCAGGGGCCAAATGCTTGAGGATGGTTTCATGGTTGCATTCCCTCTGCAACGTCAAACCAGAAAACAGCCTAAGGGATCCAGCTTTAGACAAGGACAGCTGAAACATTCCCTGCGTTGTTGACCTGTTTGGAAGTTCTAAGCTTGTATCTATTACAGGACATAACAAGACTGAATTGGCAACCACGGAACAGCAAGAGACACGTTGAGGTCAAGGGTGTTGGAAGAGGCGTAACCATACGGACAGACGGCAGCAGGGGCGGTGGCCATACCTGATAGTCGATCTGAGGGAAGAGAAGAAAGGCAGGTTCAGGAACCCAAACTAAAACCCAAAGGCGAGCAGATCTGAGAAGGCTGGCTCGGGGCCCTGTGTTCCTTTTTGTTGCACTTTCAGCCTGTTCCCTGGAACACCTGGGAGTGAACAGGGATCATCACTCATTCTCTGTGCAGAGCTGTGACAAAGGAAACCCAACTGCTGTAGGGAGCATGAAGGGGAAAGGAAATTGAAGGGGGAGGAAGGTGTCTGAGAAAAGGAGACTCTCCCTTTCTCATCTCAGCTTGGTTACTCTTCACAGCAGTGATGATAAAATTGGAAGGAAAAGAGACAGTGATGGGAACTGGAGGTAAGACAGAACCTGGGTCAAATGTAAATTCCCCAGAGTTGGAGCTCCAAGGAGAGGGAAACTGTTATTCCATCAGACCACTGTGAAGCATGATGGGATTTGTTCTAGCATTCCCCTCCTCCCAATCACTGTACCTCAGTGTCTGTAGGGATGTATGTGTGTGTCTGAATGTGGAAATACCTATGTTTCAGTCTGCCCACGCTGCATAAGGAGGCACTGAAGATGCAGTCCCATTTTTAAGCCACTTCATGATTTGCAAAGTATTTGCATGTAATGTGTTGAGTTGTCACAGTAATCCTAAGCATATGCTAGGCTCCGAAACTGAGACTTTGCAGTCTCAGTAGCAGAGGTGAGAACAGAGCAAGCTGTGTTGCTTCCTTTGTAATTAATACCCACCACCTCCATGCACTGTCTTCCACAGTTGGCATGGGTTTCAGTTCTATCCTACTGCTGATCCTGGGCTCTGCTTAGGTGTACAGGCCATTTGATTTGCCTGGGCAGACTTATCTGGAGATCAGGAATGAGCTGGAAGGGAGGTGGAAAGTTCCAGCCTGGAGGGGAATGGAGCTTATCCATCCTTGCTCTTTTTCTCTGTCCTGTCTTCTCCCTGCCTATTTGTACACCACCTGTGTTTGGTTTGATGCAAGGCAGAGCAGTGCTCCCATAGCAGTTGGAGAGTCACAGGCCCATGCCAAGTTTGCAGAAATGTATGCAGCTGTCACGTGGGCAGCGCTGTACCCATGAACACCAGTAGAGCCCTGCAGTCTCAGAGAGCCTAGATGCTAGCACCAACATAGCCTGTTTCTCAGCAGAACTGTCAAAGGAACCCAAGTGTCTCTTGAGTTGTCAAGGTCTGGCCTGTTCTTTGGTGTTTAACTCGATCAGGATCCTGCAAGATCCAAAGGGATCTCCAGGGAGCCTAAGGAGGTCACAGGTCTGCATGCCCCTTCAGCAAAACGGAGCTGAGAAATAAGGTATCTCTGGCCGAAAAGTAGACAAATGGGCTTGGCAGCATTTAAAAAAACAGATATGATTACAATATTGCCAGGGTTCCTGAACTGTAAAGACTTTGGGCAAATCAGTAAACACAAGGCTGCTGTGTTGCTCGGCTCTGGGGCACTAGAATCAGATGAAAATATGAACAGCACCCCCAGTTTTTGTGCATGGGGAGCAGACCTCATATCCTCTCTGGACTTCTGTCTCTCATTAGGAAAGGGAAGAGTTGGTTGAGATATTCTTGGGAGTCCTGTCTGGTTCAGGACTTGAATTGTTCAGTCCCTGCTGGTAGACCAAATGTCTCAGTCCCTTCCTAGCCCTTCCCAACCCCTTTCATTTTGTTCTTCTCAGAGGTGAGATTAGGGGACTCTGAGGATGAGGATCCTCTTAGAAGGTACCTGAATCAGTTGGGATCCTTGGCAGAAAACAATGGAAACTAATCCAGGGTGGGATGAACAGGAGGTCATTTATGGGAAAGATAAATCAGAGTCAATGGGAAATCTAGAGAATGCAACTCGGAAGGTGGGCAGGCATGAGAAGAGGTGGCTACACAGCTGGACACCACCACGGGATCTGCCTGCATTGCTGTCCCAAAGATTTGCTGCAAAGAATCCCTCAGCTGGTCCTAGCTCCTTTAGTTACTTTCTCAAGACTCAAGGCCTGGAGTAACCAAGAACATCTAATCGGACAAGCCTGGGCCACAAGTCTACCCCTTTGCATCCAACGGCTGGGGAGAGGGAATATTTGGCCTCTTTGACTGCTGCAGTGGGACACCAGGCCCTGCCTTTCACCAAGGTCCCCCCCCCCCCCCCCCCGCCCCCCCCCCCCCAGCCTGTTCCAGCCAAGCACTGTAGACCCTCCCAGTCTCCCGGCCCCAACTGCCTCCTCTGGAAAACAGGATGAACGTTGGCATGCAGGAGGGGCTGTGCACTCATGGTTCTGAGTACAGCTCCTTGCCTGGACCCAGACCCCCCCCCCCCCACCGCATGGAAAGGGTGTTCATGTGCCTAGTGGTGATGTGGTCCTGGGACCACAAGTTCTGGTATCGGGCACTCCCCTGTCACCACCCAGCTGCACCTTGGGCAGGTCATCCACGCTGACTTTTGGTTTCCACATCTATAAAAGCAGGAGTACTGGGGTTTTTGAGACAATGAATGTGAACATGTTTGGAACTCTGAAGTTCTCTGTCAGTGAGGCCTTCGCATTAGAGTGAACCACAGCCAGAGCACAGGACTGTCTCAGGACCCAGGAGCCCTGCCTGTCCATGACGGGGCTAAGGCCCTAGTTGTGAATGTTGCCTTAGTCTCAGCGAACATTCCTGGGATCCTTTGTAGAGCTCCAGCCACACAAGTGATGGGTATGTTTGACTGAAGGCTCGAGGGACATCTGGCACCCGGTCCCCAGCTCTGCCATTAACTCTGTGTCACTTCATGTCACTGGGCCTCAGTTTCTTCACCTCTAATATGGAGACAGGGGATCCCAGCATTTGATGGTTGCACGATCTTAGTTATCCATGTTCGTGCAGAGGGGCTGTGGGGTGTAAGATTTGAGAACCCTTCACTTTATCTGTGGGATGCATTAAACTATTTGGGGAAGGAGGAAGGAGCACAGGTTATCAGATTTTCTTTTGTAACTCCTTTCTTTTGCATGGTATTTAGAAAAAAAAAAAAAGGAATTCCCTGATCACCTACTCACAGTTAGTGTGTGTGCAGGTGAGTGTGTGTGTTGGGGGTTGTGCGGTGGGATGGCCCCTTAGGAGCTGAAGGGCTGTCTGAAGAGCCATCAGAGGGGAGGGGAGGCTAGGTGGAGAGGAAGACCTGGCCTTGGATGAGTGGCCAAGCAGATGCTCGTAAGCCAACCACGGAGCTTTGACCGATTTTGGTGTAAGCATAAGAGAAAAACGTACCTCCCGGCTGTACACCCAGGACTGTTTTTTTCCTTAAACTCCTCCCAGAGTTTAGCCAATGATTCTCAAACATTTCTGTGTATAAGCAGTCCCTGGGGAGCTCATTACAATACAGATTTTCAGGTTCTGTCCATGGAGATCAGGACTCAGAATGTTTGGGGGTGATCCCAGGAACCTGCACTGTTGCAACAGCTAGTCTTGGACCAGACTACTTTTTAAGGAACAAGCATTAGAACCTGCACCAGGAAATGCTGACAATTGACAAGGGCAGGAGGTGTGTCCCACCTGTAATCTCCTTTGTCTCAGGTTTTCCTGCAAATTTACGGAGTTGGACCAACTGAACTCTATCACCCTTTGGGTTTTATTTCTGAGTCTGCAGCTGGGTGAAATCTCCCAGCCTAGCTAGTTGATTTCTGCAAGGTGTACAGAAATGTCCTCAAAGGGCAAAGCCCGGAAGCATGCTGCCTTACCTTGAACACCTCGGACTTCGGTGGAAATGTCCTGTCTTTTGCCTTTAAATTTTGTGGCATGACAAAATTGAAGGACATGATGACATTGTTGTTTTCCATGCTTTCTGGCACAGAGAAGATGTACTGCATGTCCCTCTGGGGTCCTGCATGAAAAAGGGCGGTGATTGGACTTCAGCTCATCTCTGGCATTCCAGGATGGGACTGTGACCACTTCAGAGAGCCAGTTCAATGGGTTGTGATGGAAACTCTGGATTTGGGCTAATAGACCTAAGGCCTGGGTCCCATTCCCCACAGTTACTAGTTGTGACACAACCTTCTTTATTTTGTGAGCCTCAGTCTCCTCCTCTTAAAAATAAGGAGGGAAAGTATAGTTCCTACTTGGTGAAAATGTTTCTTACACTGTAAAGTTGAGGGCTATTTTTATAATAATAAGTGGAATTCCAGAGGCCTCAAGTATGCATTGGTGACAACCATGGAGCCATGAAATGATGTCAATCCCCCAAGCATCAATGGAGATGGAAGAAGAGAGGCAGAGAGATGGCAATTCATAGAACTCTGCTACCCAAGAGTCCTCACCAAAGCCAGAGGGAGACAACTAACGTGAAAACCATTAGATTCAAATGCATGAGAGATCGGGACTTCCCTGGTGGTCCAGTGGTTAAAGATCCACCTTCCAACGCAGGGGAGGCGAGTTCAATTTCCGGTCGGGGAACTAAGATCCCACATGTCGCCGGGCAACTAAGCCCGCGAGCCATAACTGCTGAGCCCGCGTGCCTCAACTACTGAGCCTGCGTGCCACAACTACCGAGCCCACACACCACAACTAGAGAGCCCGCATGCCGCAACTACTGAGACTGTGCACCACAGCTAGAGAGAAGCCTGCACACTGCAACAAAGGGCCTGCGTGCTGCAACGAAAGACCCGACACAGCCAAAACAAAACAACACAACCAAACGCATGAGAGATAATGTATGAAAAGTAAATGAAGATGAGACAAGCTAGAAATGAATTAATAGACATCAGAAGGTTATGGTACGATTGGGAAGTTCTGAAAGGGGAATTGGGAGACATAGAGACCATCTTGGCCATCGGCTTTTTGTGAGGATCAAACAAGATGACACACTCAAGTGCACTTAGCAGCACAGAGCAGGTGCTCGCCGGCTGCCTCCCTTCCCTCTCTCCCTTGTAAGGAATTACTAAAGATGGCACAATGTATAACTTTGGTCAGTTCATCGATCTGCACTAATATCTGGGGGTGCTGGCCCAGTCAGACAGGTGCAGCTCAGGAAGATGAATCAGTAAACTTGCTGCCTGAGCAACTCTGTAGTTTCTTAGAATCTGTCCATGGTCTCCTGGTGACTACGTTCTCTGACCAGCAGAGTGAAGAGCTTGGAGGCGTGGGGTCATTCAAGCATACCATTCTCGACAGGCTGGTGCCAAGGAGAGGGAATGCACATGTCGAGGTGCAAACACACCCACACACACAAACACACACGCACAACTATGTTGTTTGCATAGCTTTTCCTATCCGGGATGTGTGAGCACATTCAGGTTCATCTTCAGAGGGTGATATTTCACTCAACCATGTCACAGACGGGGAGCCGGAGGTGCAGTGAGAGTATGTCACTCACTCTCTTAAAATCACATCAGTAAGTTTCATCTCCCGGGAGCCCAAAGACAGGTTCTGAGGTGCCCACCTCTGGGAACTCAGTATGGTGCTGCAGGATACATCAACCAACATGGGCAGGAATATGCTCCCTGATGCCTGGATGGTGCTTTGTGGCTTCAAGGGGAAGGTAGAGATGACTAAATTCCACTATGTACAGTTGGGGAGACTGAGGACAGAGAGACCAGAGTCACAAAGCCAAAACGTGGCAAAAACAATGGTTTAACCCAGGCCCTGACTTTTGTCCCATGTTCTTTTCATAGGTCCCCCAATGTCCTGGATAATTACTGAAGAGCAGTGGGCCCGTTCTACTCTTGGGAGGTGGATGGAGCTTAGTAGAAGGACAGTGGGAAAGCAAGAGAGCAGGAGATTCACACTGGAGATTCTCCGGCCCACCCCTACCAGCAATCATTTCCCCTGAAGTATAGGTGTCCCTCTGGGCTGACAAAGTCGTCTGCTTCTTCAGGCTGATGGTCTAGGATCGAGGGCCACTGAGAGCTAAAGCTGGGATAGGGCAAAGGCTGGCAGCTCCCCATCTGGCAGAATAATTACCAATGTCATCACTGCCTTCCGCATTTCCTGGAATTAAGTGGCTCTTAAACATCAGTTGGGGCCATCTTTCATGGATTGTGTTTCCATGGTCCAGGCTGATTGGAACTTGGTTACATATAAATAGGCAGAAGTTATCTCGGAAATCTTGACATGACATCCTGTTATAAAGAGAGACACATCACTTAATGACTACGGGTTTGTCCCATAACTTCACTGTACCTCTGCCTGTCAACTATAGTATCCATTGATTTACCACTGTCCTACCCAAAGGCCAGAGCCCCATTCTGGTTCATTCGGGGTCAGATACATTTCTGATGTCTCCAGTGGTTGGAAGGACAAGGACAGAGTCAAATTATGAGATCTTCGGGTCCCTCTCATGGCCAGCAATATGACTGCCAGTCTTTTTCTGTTCTGGGTCCTACACACTGCTAAGAAAATCACCTTTCCCTAGGGCCCTTTGCCAAATGCACTGTTGGGGTCTTACCAGAATACAATGGATTCAAGACCTAAAATCATACCTGTGATTAAAGTTGTGATACTGGAAATATTCTTCCTCCTAATTTATATTTGTCCCTCTGATTCTTAATTACTTAGGCCCAGTCTCTTTTTCACACATGCTAAATTTTATTTAAGTATGTCATTGAATAAACCAGACAATCCTTCAGAGAAATGTCCATCTTATTCTTTAAGATGTGAGCATAGGACTGGGGATGTGTTGTAAAACATCTAGTCCTACATAGCTGCTGGGTGATGACACCGATGTCTCACCCAGAACTCTAGAGTCAGGGCTGGGAGATTAACCCCCATGTTCCTCTCTTGCGATTCATGCCAGGAAAGACTGTAGCACTCCAGGGCTCCAGAAAAGATGGCAAAAGAAGTTACAGGCACGATAACCATACATCCTGGTTTCCAGGAAACTGTTGGTTTCAAAGCTTTGGTGCCAATATTCCCTTCTACCATTAACATTTCCTGCGAGTTCTAACATTTCAGAGAGGAAATACCTTTCATGCAAAGAGAGAACACACAATTTCCTTTTCAAAGCTTTTGTGTCTTGGTGGAGAAAACAGCCTCCTTCTACCTAGGTCTCTGAAAAGCTAATCTTTATTCTCACAAAAGTTTAGGGAAAAGGGTGGGGATTGAGGGTTTGGGCAATAGTTAAAGATTTAAAATCTAATTTTGAAAAAAGAGTAAGTACCAAAACTCGCCATCATCCTTATTTTCATACAACTGGCTTTTCCGTTGGTCGTGGGTTTCCTGCCACTCCAGAGACCTGGGCATGGAGAGACAGACCATAGGATGAGACTTCCTAGGATGTTTCATCTCAACCACACATGGCCCGACAGAGGCCCTTTGCACAGGCCTCCAGTAGTTTCTGGGAGTGAGTGGACAGTGTCGCTCTACCTGGTGATTCTATGCTGATGGCTTCCAAGCTGTCCCCCAGCCCCATCCTCTTTCCTGAGCTTTAGATGGATACATGCTATGGTCCATTCCTTGTCTCCACCAAAGCCCCACCGTGACCTTGAAATCAACGTATCCCAAAATGTACTCATCCTCTGCCTCCTTCTATTGCCCAAGTGAGAACATGAAGGGTTATTCTCTCTCATACCCTCCACGTCCAAGCCATCACCAAATATTAATGATTTATTGATCCTACCTTCTAACCCCCTCTCAAAGCCTTCGAATAATTTCCATCCTTATTGCTGTTTTCAAGTTCAAGAACCCTCATCTCCCTCTTGGACTGCTCATGGGTCTCCCGGAACTCAGTCCGGCCCGCTTTCCTATTCATACTCTACACCTCTAATCAAAACAATCTCTCGAAAACAGAAGTCTGGTTGGGGCACTTCCCTGCTTAAAACACATCAGTGCTGCCCTTTTACTCTCAAGGATGAACTTCAAGCTCTGAAACAGAACTTGGCCTCTGCCTACCTCTCCAGGTTTACCCGAGCAGCTCCCTGTCCCCACGCCCTCGAACTGTACACTCCAGCGATAATGAATATCTTCATTTCCTTAGAAATACCTGTGTGTCTGGTGGCAGTGGCAGCACCCAACCCAGACCCGCCTTGGCCTTCACCATGATGCTCCCTCTGCCTGGAATACACTTCCTCCTTTCAGTCCTATAACCCAATAACTTTTACTCATCTTTCCTCCTAAAAGGCACTTCTGCTGGGAAACCTTCCTTGTCCTCCCTGGGGTGCCCTTCCTTTGAGCCCGCATGGCACACTGTACCACTCCCATCTCAGCACTTAGCACCCTGTGTTACTAGTGCTTGTTTATTTCTTGCTGTCCCCCATTAGACTCCAAGTGCCATGAGATCAGTGACCTTGCTCACCATTATATTATCCGTCATAGGGCTTTAACACAATGCCTTGGCACATAGTAGGATGCCATAAGTTTTGGCTGGCTTAATTAATTAATAATTAAAGCCGTCTACTTCATTGGGATAATGTGTTCCAGAAGCTAGTCCTAGAGCCTGCGGTGAAGGAGGGAGACCTCACAGGCAGAAGGGAGCATCTGTCACTTCCCAGCCCACTCCTGAAAGTGGAGGCACATCCACAGGCGACGGGCCCCCAAGGCACAAAAGTGTAATGAGACCCTTCTCTGGGACTGACTTGCATGGAGGGCCTGGGTCACCTCTGTGCCGGGAGAGCAACGCAGGGACCACTCAGGCTTCCGGCTGCAGGCTGAGCCAGTCAGATGTGTTATTGTAAAATGGCAATTTTATAATTAAGCGATAATTACATTTTCGGCAGTATGTAAGGGAAAACAAATGTAGTGTAAATCAATACACTACTGATTCATGCAAGTGTGTCTTTAAGTGTGTGTGATTGAAATTTCCATTATGGTTGAGATTAGACCACCCGCCCTCCCCATCCGTCTCCACTCCTTAAAACGTAGGCAAGGGGCTTCCCTGGTGGCTCAGTGGTTAAGAATCCTCCTGCCAGTGCAGGGGACACAGTTCGAACTCTGGTCCAGGAAGATCCCACATGCCGTAGAGCAATGAAGCCCGTGTGCCACAACTACTGAGCCTGCGCTCTAGAGCCTGTGAGCCACAACTGCTGAAGCCCGTGCACCTAGAGCCCATGCTCCGCAACAAGAGAAGCCACCACAATGAGAAGCCCGTGCACTGCAATGAAGAGTAGCCCCCGCTCACCGCAACTAGAAAAAGCCTGCGTGCAGCAACGAAGACCCGACGCAACCAAAAATAAATAAATAAATAAACTAATTAATTAATTAATTAATTTTTAAAAACGTAGGCAAGAAATCGACCAGTGCACGGAGACAGTGATGACGCGGCCATATTGCTTCCCTCCAGCCTGGATGCTGGTGGTAGAGCCTGTGAGCCACAACTGCTGAAGCCCGTGCACCTAGAGCCCATGCTGCGCAACAAGAGAAGCCACCACAATGAGAAGCCCGTGCACTGCAGTAAAAAGTACCCCCCGCTCCCCCCACCTAGAAAAAGCCTGCGTGCAGCAACGAAGACCCGACGCAACCAAAAATAAATAAATAAATAAACTAATTAATTAATTAATTAATTTTTAAAAACGTAGGCAAGAAATCGACCAGTGCACGGAGACAGTGATGACGCGGCCATATTGCTTCCCTCCAGCCTGGATGCTGGTGGGGAATGGTGCACCTCAGCCCGGGGTATGTGTTCCTCCAGAGTAGGTGTGGCAGGGTCCAGCCCCCGTCCCTGCTCTGCACACTTCTCTTCCCTGCTCAAAGGCCTTTGTGAACCCCCGTGCCCGTAGGTACAAATCCAAACCTCTCAGCTGGCACCAGGCTCTCTGGTTCCAGCCCCCGACACGCCTTCCCCAGGTTCCTCTGCCTCAGGCCAGCTTCTTGGCCCTGAACACACTACAGATGTTCCTGGCTCAGCGCAGCAGCAGCCGACACTTCCCGCCTACCTAGGGATGGCTTCCAAAGTGAGTCATACTTCTTTTTTGGCTGAACTCCAGTTCAACCCCATTCATGAAGCTTTCCCTGAACAGGCCCGCCCATGGGAAGCTTCTCTTCCCTGACCTCTGGGGTCCCTTATTGCCTTCACTGGTCATTTGATCTTTAGCCCGGGGGACGTGGGCAGAACGTCAGCTCACGTGAATTTCTTGCCTCTTTTTCTACTCAGGGGGGCTGTGCCTCTGACATCTGCCCTTCCTCCACTCCTACTGCAACGGCCAACCCCGAATCAGGGATTCAGGCTAATCGGATCCCCCCCGGGCCATATTGGGCAGCTTGGGGTGATGACTGGGAAGGAGGGCTGGAAAGGGCCGTCGATATCCCCAGGGAGGAAGAAAGGCCAGAGGCAAGATAAAAGGAGAGAGTGCGGCGGGGAGTAAAAATATTGTCCAGTGGTTCGTGGTTTTGCGATTTCATTCCCCTTCTGTGCGGGACGAGGGGATTCAGCTGCCCTGTTCTCCAGGGGCATCTGAGGGAGGTCACACCCAGGTTTATTCTAAGAATTCATGTCTCTCCCTCTCTCTCATATTCCTACCCTCCAGCCCCACCTGTGCAGGCACCTCGGCTGTTGGGCACCGCCCAGCCTGGGGCATCAGGCTCAGGCAGGGACGGGAGAACTCTGCATTCGCCTCCAGAACACACTTCTCCGTGTATTGGTTTTCACCGCTGGCTGAGGCCTGTTCTCCTGCTTGAACGCAATGTATTTCCTTTCAGATCATGTTCTCCCTCGTGCTAAGCTGCCACGGCTGGCCAATGTGTCTCGACTCTTTCCGTGGATCTAACACAGGCCCTCAGAGACCTGCGGGCAGGCTGGGACTTGCTGGCTGCTGAGAGGAGCCAGTGCCCTGTGGCTGGCCTGCCATCCCTCTCAGGACTGTCATCTCGTTCTTAGTCAGCAAAGGGGTGGGCACCAGGGATCAGTCCTCCTGGCAGCTGGGAAACACCAGCCCAGCTCTCCAGGAACTACTGACCACACAGCGGGGGCCCCATAGGTCAGCTGGGTCAGTGAGCAACTGCCTGGGACACGGCCAGCAGAGGCATCTGAGACCCACGTAAGCTTTGTTCACTCCTACCACCAGCAAGGCACTGGCTGCTCGTGGGAGTCTGGACCAATAGGGCAGGATGGATGATGCAGGTGGACTGAGTCAAACAATCAGCCAGATCTTTGCCTCAGCTCCCCAGCTCCCCCTAGAATGAAATTTTTTCCATCCTGATGACATGGCATCATCTGGATCAGAATCCCATGGGATCCTTTTATGGAAGGAGACTCCTTCTCTCCATCTCTGTCTGCCAAGTAAAACTTGACTCCTGCCCTACCCGACCCCTATTTTAATTTTGTACTTATTCTAGGTATATGGGTTCATCGCTCAAGACTGTTTCCTTCTGGAGGACAGACACCGTCTCTTGTCATCTGTATGCATCCCACAGCACCCACCCAGCACAGTGTACTTAGTCCAGAGCACACAGAAGGTGTTTAAATGATGCCTGGTGAATGGCATCACGGGAGTGTGAGTTCGACTGAAAGTCACACACATGTGTGAGCTGGACAGACCTGCAGTGAGATCTACCTGCTGCCCTCATGGGCCAGAATGCTCTCCAAACACCGGGTCTCCATGAAGGAGAGAGAGAGGTTTCCAAAAGCCGTACCTGTCACTCCAGTGCCCTCTCCATCTGCTCTTGCCCCAGGGGTTCCACAGGCGGATAAGATATTCCCAGCCGCTCCTGTACTGAATCTGCAAAGAACAGAAAAGGAAAACTGTCTGTGGTCTCCAGCAAGAGTCAGCAGAAGGGATATGAATGCAGCTGCTTTTCACCTCCAAGGACTAATTTAACTTCTGACCTCATTTGGCTGCAGCAGGAAAAAAAAAATGGAAAGGAAAAAAAATCAATGTCTCTGCCTGTGTGGAGTTGGAATGAGACAGAGGAGAAAACGGTCCTTCTTTCTGTGCAGCACCTTGAAGGGCAGGTGCAGCTTCCTCAGTCTGTATGACTGCATCCTAAAACCTGCGCCAGCTGACACAACAGCAGATAAATAGCACGGATGGTACCATGGGCTGCAGAGGGGAGATCTTTATGGGTCTCCAGCCTCCTCCATGCCCTGTCACAGCCGGCATCTGTATTCCACTCAAACAGGTGTTTCCTTGCTGGCGGCCCCTTGGGAGCTGTGCTGGGGTCTCCACAGCACTGTCCTGAGCAAGGCCAGTAGGAGGCTGATTTGAGCACGACCAGGACCTTTGAGGCCTGGGAGTGGAGCCCTCCTAGCCTGCAGCCCCGGGGCTGCACCCGGACCCCCTGGCAGCCTGCCTTTGTCAGCGAGCAGGGCATCCGCATGGCCTGAACGTTCCTTCCTTCCCCAGGGGATCGCATCAACATCTGTCCCAGATACAGAGGCCGGCACAGTTGCTCCTTCAGACCACTGAGGCCAGAGGGCAGGACTGTTTGTTGAAAAGTTACAACAAAACAATCACAACCCTTTGAACTTATGTTCCTGGATCCAGGGGGCCTCCGCCTGGTGAGAGGAATTAAAGCATGATTGAGTTGTAGTGGCAGTATTGATCTGTGCTAGTGTTGTCTGAGGAGAGAGAGGCCTGGAGGGGTGAGGAAGGGGCGGACTTGTTCACTGATTCCAGGTCACAGGAGAAAGTCCCGAGTGGAATATTCCCACGTGGAAGAGAAACCCGTGTGTGGAGGCAGGGCTTGGAGACAGGCCTGGCTGAGTGTGTGACGTGCACTGTGGCCTTCAATCCTCTGAGGTAGATATTCATATAATCCTCGTCTTGCAGAGGAGACTGAGCATCAGAGAGGTTAAGCAACTTTCCCAAGGCCACAGAGTAAGTGGCAGAGGAGGAACTCTGATCCCAGCCACTGTCAGTCTCCAAAGCCCAGGCTCTTAATTTTGGAATTGGGAGTGGATAAAGGATACAGCTGCTCCAGGACCCAGCTCATTCTCACATGTGGACGAGACCCTGACCTCGCAAGTAAACCCTGGGCCAGCACGTGATTACCAGTAGGGCAGAAGGAGCGATGTGGTCAGGCAAGGGCTCAAGAACCCAGCTTGGGTATGGTTCTTTTCTTGTCTACTTCTGTCTAGCTGACAATGCAGTGGAAGGTACTCTTAATGCCACATGGGATGGGGGTGCCCCTCTCTGCCCCCCACCAGGCACCCCTGGCTTTGCACACAGTGTATTAACTGCCAGCACGTGACGGAGCCCATGGAAGAGAGACGTGAGAAACGGTCGCCTGGTGGCCCAAAGAGCTTAATGAGCCACCCTCAGTGCCTAAGGGACAGTCAGGGGCTCAGGCAGGCACAGGGGAGGAGTGGCCAGTGCCTGGAAGGGGCTGAGAGCAGGGCTAAATGAGGCATGCAGAGAAACACGTACCCCCCCGGCCCCGGGGAGTCACTGACCCAGCTAGGTGCATAGTAAAAAATGCCAATTTCATTTATCTTCCTGTCTCTGTCTCACCCAGAGGGTGGATGAGCAGATTAAAAAGTACACTGCATTTATGGGCTGGTTTAATCTTACCACTTGTGGTCAGAGTTATAACCTCCTCTTTCTGCAGGAAGAACCTTTAATCAAGTTCTTGGGCGCTTGTCTGACCGTGTCACTTCTTTTCGACAGTGCTCTGTTGGTGATCACATGGGCCTTGGCCGAGTGCCTCAGGGGTAACCTTCGAGGCTAAGGTCACAGCTGCATCCGAGAATGGGCGGGCTTTCTTGCTTCACTCTCCTGGCTGCTGACTGTACCCTGACCCTGGTCAGATCTCTCAGAAAGGGTGCCACTCGGAAGAGGTGATCTAGGTTATCTATCCTAGGATAATAATTCCTTGAAAGTATTCTCTTGAATGCAAGTTCCAGAGGCAGTTAATTGTTACTCCTAGAAAAAAATTGATTTCATGGCTAATGGTAGACTGAAACCAAGCTGTACTTATATTGTTAATACAGGCCTTCTCAGAGCCTTTAACATGTTAACATCCAAATACTGCTTTCATAGAGCATCTCACCAGGCCGGTGCTCCTTTGAGCACAGGCTGGGAAGTGTCAGCAGCCGCAGAGTGGCAAGAATGGCGGGAATGGATCATACAGGACACACGGTCTTCATCACCTACTCTCACAGGAGTGTCCTGTTCAGACTGCTCAGGGTGTTATAAGAACAACTCAAAGTGTGTGCTGTGGGGGAGGAAACATCCGGGCTGTGAGCAGAATCATCGCGAGCCCAAACCCCAGCCAAGCCCGCACTTCCACTCCCCAGTTCACCTCCATGACCTTGGCCCTAGGTGTTTACTTGGCTGCTCTATAAGCCGGCAGTCACTGCCATCCCCATGGCCAGCCTCTGCGGGACTCACATTCCATGGCCATCTGGACCTCTGGATACACAAGTCCCTTCTCCCCTGCATTCAGAGGAGAAAGAAAGGCCGTCTCAACGTATAAAAAGGGCCTAGCCAGGAATGGCCAGCACATCACGCAGGTACCATGGCTCCTTCCTTCCATGCCCAGCACAGATATCATTCATTGATCACAGCTCTCTTTTTCCAAATCCAGAAGCAGAGCCCAAGTCTTGTCAACACAGTAATCCAGGCAGCATTGCCTGGATCAAGGCTGGCACACAAGAAAGCTGACTCTCTCCCTAACCTAGACTTGTCCACATCCGGGATGGGGAGCTACGGGGAGCAGAATGTCCATTCGTGGCCAGATGTGATGATGGTATTGTCTGTCGCCACTGAGAATTCAGAGAAGGGCAAGGGAGATCCCAGAGGAAGGGCATCTGGGGATACTGGGACTGGGATCTCTTATGGCTTCCGTTTATCAGGGCCTCTTCCTTGCCTGTGGGAAATGTCATCTGAGCTCCTCACATATTCTATGATGGAGAATCCGTGATGTCATCCTCATAGGCCAAAGACAAATGCATTCATTCACTCATGCAAGCACACTCATCCACTGATCCAACAGGCATTTATTAGGTGCCTACTGTCCTCCAGTTGCTGTGCAGAGGAAGCATTTTGGTACTGATTTCCTTAGGGAGGAAGGTGAGAGAGAAAATATTGCCTCTGGTTTTTTTGTTTGTTTGTTTGCTTTGTTTTGTTTTGTTTTGTTTAACATCTTTATTGGAGTATAATTGCTTTACAATGGTGTGTTAGTTTCTGCATTATAACAAACTGAATCAGCTATACATATACATATGTCCCCATATCTCTTCCCTCTTGCATCTCCCTCCCACCTTGCCTCTGCTTTGCAGATTGGAACATTCACCCAAACACAAAACAATGGAGTAACTGGCCTTAGGTCAATGGACAGGAGAGACAGATTGACACGCAGAGAGGGAAGGCAGATATGAGAAATAGGCCATAAATAGAAGCTGATACTCTCCGTTCCTTGGCCCATAAATACCTGTGAAAAATGGACCCTGGGGTTTGCGACACTGTCTCTTAAGACCTAGAAGACATTATCAGACCTCAAGAGTTGTGAGAACTACAGAGATGGGGGAACATTTGTGGGAAATCATCACGAGGCCAGGAAGTGCTGTCCCTGCACGGCTGCGTGATAAGCATAGATGGGAACTCAGGAGTCGTGGTGTCTGGGCCCAGTCATTTCAAGCAGCTGTATCACCCTGGCCTTCCCCTCTCAGGTGTCGGCTTCTCATTTATGAGTTGAGGAGGGTGGACTTTAGTAGTGTTTTCCAGACCAAACGCTACTGCACACACTGATGATACGCGTTTTTGTCCACCCAAAGTTGGTTGTTGCATCAAGGGGAAAGACTGTCCCCCAGTAGCCATCCTCCCCTCATTCATGGGAATAAAGTTCTAGCTGGGCATATGGCAGCCCAGCTAGATGGTATCTTTCCCAGACAACGTTGGGCCTCAGGGTGGCACATAATTAGGTCCAGACTCATTGGATCTGAGAGAAAATGGTGTGTGCCTTTACTGATACGTGCCTTCCTTAGGGATGTATAAGTGTCCCTGGCCTCTTTCTCCTCTCCTGGCTGGGAAATGAGGGGACCTGAGGCAGCTGCCCTGGGCTCACAGATAGAAGCCCCATGTTGCAGATGGCAGAGCCAGCTACCAGCTCTGGAATCTCCTGCCTAGCTGAGAAGTGAACTTGATCTTGTTTGAGCCCCCTGCATTTTTGAGTGTCTTTGTCAGAGCAGTTCAGTTGGTACGTAACAAATAAAACCCTATTGGGGCAAAATTTTCTCCAAAGTCAACTGGGTAGTTAATTCTGCTTTCTTTTTGGGCTAATCCCCCAGCCTAGTTAGACACTCTGCCTGTCTGAGGCCATTCAAGGATAGTAAGATTTTTGGTGGGTCCCTGGGGGATGAGGATACTGGGCACCAGAACTTCTGGATGAAGAGAGGGAATGAGGTTATCCATGATGGGCCTGGACATGGTGGAGGCAAAGGTGATCACTACTTGTTTCAGCTTGTTGGGCTCACCGAGGCAAGTGGTTCCGACTCCTGTGTAGGGGAGCAAGAACCCTGGGGCACCGTGTTCATGGAGAGCCTTACCTGCTCAGCGCCAGTCACTGTGTAGGCATGCCGACTCACCAGCCCGTTTGCCATCCTCGTGGACTCACTTGTCGGCTTCAAAGGAGGAAAGCAGACCAAGTGTTAAACATTCACACATTCTTCAAAAAGATAGAAAAGCACTATTCAATCAGCAGCTGGGCTGTGGCCAGATGAAAAGCATCCCTGACTCACGTTGGAATGGCATGTGTTCCTGGATTTCTTTCCTAGAGAGGCAGAGTTTGAAGGCTGTAGGGTGCTTGAGGTCCCAACATTTCACACCTCAGGAGACCACCCCGTGACAGACAGAAGGCCACCAAGTCCTGAGGACGTGGGCTGCTGGCTTCTCCAATTACTTGCTATCAATGAGACACGACACAAGACATAACTTCTGGGCATTTTGTGGGAGTTGGGAAGATCTACCACCTCCAAGCTATGAGGAATTGGGGTTTAAAGTGCATTCTGGTTTCATGTGGCATTCCAGACTAGGGGTGTGTGACTCAAAGCCCACATGGTTAAAGAGTGAAGGAATTGTCCTCAGGGATACGGTGCTGGCTGTCTCAGAACAGACTCAAATAATTTGGAGGGTCACTCAGGCTTTTCAGAATGGGGTACTCTGCCTTTGGGATGCTGCCTTTAAAGCCAGTGAGAATCAAAGGGCTCCCCGATCACCCTGGACCCCACTGCTTCCGGTCACAGGGAAGAACTAGGCAAAGGCTTCAGTATCAGACGACAGCGTCTGAACCCCTGCTCAGCCACTCACTGGCTGTATGGCGGTAAGCATTTTACTTAGTCTCTCTGAGCCCATTTCTTCTTCTGTAAGTGAATTCTGCAATCCCTATTTCAGATGGAGGGCTATTGTGAGGATTAAATGAAGTGGTGTCGGTAAAGCACAGCATCAGTGCTCCGTGATGGTCACTTGGCCATTCCCCTGAATGGGCCAGTGGCTGAACACTCCTGGGTGAGGAAAGGCTCGAACCAGTGCAGCGAGATTCCTGGTCTACTCACCCCGGCCAGGGTGCTGCAGGTCATCAGGGAGCCTGCCTCGGCTACCATCTTCACCACTGTCATCAGGTCAGATGAGGAGGAACGCAGGCTGATGATGGTGACCACCCCTCCCGTGAGGTCCACCAGGGCATCAGGGAGGCAGCCACAGTGCAGGTTGACACAGGACCCATGAAACCTGGGAGGGATAAAGGCAGATCAACCCCTGTGGTGCCTTTGGTGCCCCCAGAAAGGGAGGTTGTACCCGGACCTCTGCATATTTCCCAGGACTTCCCAACCACCCCCGGGCTATGGTAACCTGCCCACCTTCTGTTCTCCTGGATAAAGAATCTAGCAATGTGCCACCATTATCACTTCCTTCTCCTGGTCTCCTGGGCCTGGGGAGCTCCACAGGTGGCAGTACTCTATAGAGCTTAGGAATGCAGGTGTGGAGCCACAGGCCAAGGGTTGAACCCCAGTCTCTGGGATTTAGCTGCTTCACTTAGACAAGTTACTTAATCTCCTGGGGCTTGGCTTAGCGTAGTGCCTGGCACATGGGAAGCCTTTAATAAAGACTGGCTATTATTATGATAAGGATCCACTATTTCAATATGGAGGTTCCTTAAACAACTAAAAATAGAACTACCATATGACCTAGCAATCCCACTACTGGGCATATACCCTGAGAAAACCATAATTCAAAAAGGGTCATGTGCCAAAATGTTCATTGCAGCTCTATTTACAATAGCCCAGAGATGGAGACAACCTAAGTGTCCAGCAACAGTTGAATGGATAAAGAAGATGTGGCACATATATACAATGGAATATGACTCAGCCATATAAAAAGAAACGAAATTGAGTTATTTGTAGTGAGGTGCATGGACCTAGAGTCTGTCGTACAGAGTAAAGTAAGTCAGAAAGAGAAAAACAAATACCATATGCTAACACATATATATGGAATCTAAAAAAAAAAAAAAAGGTCATGAAGAACCTAGGGGCAAGACGGGAATAAAGACACAGACCTACTAGAGAATGGACTTGAGGATATGGGGAGGGGGAAGGGTAAGCTGTGACAAAGCGAGAGAGAGGCATG